GGTGCATTCTTCACGCGGCTTCAGAAAAGAGAGGGTGAAATCTAAGCAGTTTATTTAGTGTCTTCAGGGGAAGTGCTCCCCAAAATGGGGACTTGTCCTTAGAATGCATATGTGTTTACGTTGCCTCTGATTTGCATTAATTCTCTCTGACTCTATGTACAGTCCCATTACCAGTCAAACAGAATCCCAGCCTCCTCGCTTAGCAGTGATGTAACCAATCTGACCACAATCTCAACATTTAAATAGTACCTATGGATCTTACAAAACTGCTTGGTATTTTTCCCACTGGAAACTTGTTAACATGAAATGTGGCCACAGTATGCACTTGATAAGACTTAAATTTAAGGAAAAAAGAGGTGGGTTTTTTTGTTTGTTTGTTTGTTTTTACTGTTTGAGTGATTACTTTTGGATCGTAGAGCTGCTTTGAGAATTCTCAACTATCTCAACTATAAAATGGGATATCCAGAAGGAATGCACCAAATCCCATAATTCAATCTCACAGACAGACATGAGCCAGGCAGATGTAGGACCCAGGTGTTCAGAATCTACCCATCAAGTCCTTGTTGACAGAAATCAGCAGTATAACTGGGATCCATTGATGAACTGAAGCGCTCGGAGGGAGACCTTTAGCCTGGGGCACAGCGTGATCGACACGTGTGAAGAATTCTGTTATTCCTTTCCTGTTGCCTGAGCTTCGGCTTTCACGGATCCTCTCCACGTGAGGAAAAGCTCCATGTTTATATCCCACAGTCTGAACAAATCCCCATGAAAACAGATGTGCTCTTCCGGATCTCTTCCGAAAGCCTCCCAGAACCTTGTCTGGCTGCCTCTGATTGGGTGGCCGTGGCTCCCTGGTGGACCAGTGACAGCGGCCACAGTGCAGAAGTCTCTGATGCAGGACCTGAATCACGTGCTCCGTCAGCTCAGGCAGCTGGAAGGGGATTGTCAGGAAGAGGGGTGGGTGCTGACCTTGAGGGCGGGAGCCATTGGGATCTGGGAGGCTCGGGGACCTGAAGGGGCACTGACATTCCCTCCTGCACTGCTCCCCTTGGAATGGGGTCCCTGTGGAGCAGGGGTGGGGAACCCTTTTTTCTGCCAAGGGCCGTTTGGATATTTATGACATCATCCGTGGGCCATGCAAAATCAGCAACCTAAAAATTAACCTGCTGTGTTAGGTCAAACATTTAATTAACTCATCCCTCATGCCTTGGCAGGGCCAGACCAAAAGACTTTCTGGGCCTCGGACGGCCCGCAGGCTGGATGTTCCCCACCCCTGCTGTAGAGGACAGCCACTTCATCCGTCCAGGGAGTGATGCTCATCCAGAGAGACTGGTGGCATCACTGAGCTCCTTGGGGCGGAGGAAAGTCAGGATAGCTGAGGTTGGTGGGACTTGTTCTTTTTGCCCCCATGTCACATGGAGACTCGCTTTCTGCAAATCCATAGATGTCAGAGCTACCAGAGGAGGGTCTTACAATGGCTTTGGGGTGTGTGAGGCAAAGAAGCCGGGACACAAACCCCAGCTCCACTGCTTTTAGTTACAGGGAGAGACAGTGAAATCACATGTACAGGTCATCCATGTGGATAGTGCCTAGCACATCGTGTGTGCTGAGTAATCAGTAGCTATTGGTTGTGATAGTGTTATGATCATCATCATTAAATATCAAACCCTTCTGTTACTGGCTCAGAGATTTAGGTATTTAGTTAGGTTAAAAGTTGAGCTCTGTCTTCACAATCAAACTAATGGACTGTGATATAAGCGTGGAAAGTACTCTCTACTGAAATTATTTTTTGTCTGAATGCCAGTGATCACAACCATTTCTAGTCGGATACTGCGCGTGTCTTTGTCATAAACCTCAGAGATACACTGGCACAAAGAGATAAAAGGCTGGGCATTCACACAAGTATCACAGCCTCTATTATCTCCCTTTGTAAATAAACATTCTTAGAATTTTTTATTACATGGGTAATGCATGCTCATTGAAGGAAATAATGGAAAATGGAGATAAACAGAAAGAGGAGAATGAAAGACATCCAAGGCTTCCCAACCCAGGGCTAAGAACTTCTCACATGTTCACAGATGCATGACGTGTGTTTAAAAACTGGACAGCTCTGCATCTAGCACAGAGTTCAGACCAGGTGATGATCCTTCTGTGTGAACAAATTCTCCTGCAGAAATTCATTTTCGTGTGTGCCAGTTTGGTATTCCGTAAAGCGAATGGACAGAAAACCAGTTCTCTGAGGTTAACTGTGGCAGGAATATGCCATTTTACTAAAATGTCAACCTCATTTTGTGCTAAGTGGGCAAGGCTTTTCAAAAAGACAGAAACTAAATTTATGATAATAGTGATTTTATTTTGTGTTAAAATTCAAGGCTTGTAACTATCTGGTAATCCTGAAACAATAGATGGAATCAGACACCGACTCAGAGTAGGTTTTCTGGCAACATGTGAGCCTCTGTATGACTTTCTACGCCGACAGTGTCTTCAGCAGGTCCTTGCTTTCTCAGAGGCCTCTCTGGGTCATCACCACCCACTTTCGGCAGTGGGATCCCCATTCAAACTCCACAGACTCTTGGCCACCACTTTTCATGTGGTTAGAAGTTTCTCCCGCGTCGCTTTTGTCAACTTGAAAAAAATCCTGCTTCTTCTACAAAGTTGACACTTTGGCTTTGCTAAATAATTATATTAGTATCAACTTACAACATATCAAATATAAATATTTAGATCACCTGTCAATCTCAAAGGCAATGAAGAGGGGCATGCTTGGAGAAAGGGAGAGATGTTAATGTAAATGATGGGGACTGGTTTTATAAATACTAGAGGCCTGATGCACGAAATTTGTGCAAGAGTAGGTCTTCCTTCTCCCCGCTGCCGGCACCGGCTTCCCTCTGACATCTATATTAAAAGTATATTCATATTAGACTATAGATATCAGATCTATGATATTAAGCTACATTCCTATAAATAAAGGAACTCTTTACACATTCTAACAGGAGACAGGGTACCATTCAGTCATTCATAGATTACTATTGTTTAGCTTTTTGTAAAACGGGGTGATGAGTATATTTTGAGGCTCATGGAGCATGCTCTCCCAATTCACAATACTGATCCCCTTGGTAATCTAGCTCACCCATCACTCACGTCTTCAGGTGCCTGCTGGGACCAAGTTAGCTTTAGAGGAATCTACCACTTTCTTAGAATCCACAAATACAGAGCTTGCCGCCTCTGAGATGCCATGTTCTTTGGGCAATTTCCTGAATGTGTTTAAATTGATATCATCCCAGGGCCATCTCTGCAGCCGATGCCCTTTGTTTACGTTCCTGCAATTTACAGATAGATTCATTTTTTATTATTTGTTTATGGCATACTCACGTCTTCAGGTGCCTGCTGGGACCAAGTTAGCTTTAGAGGAATCTACCACTTTCTTAGAATCCACAAATACAGACAGAGCTTGCCTCCTCTGAGATGCCATGTCCTTTGGGCAATTTCCTGAATATGTTTAAATTGATATCATCTCATGGCCATCTCTGCAGCCTATGCCCTTTGTTTACATTCCTGCAATTTACAAATAGATTCATTTTTTATTACTTGTTTATGGCACGTCACTCCACTAGTCTGTCAGCAGTGTGAGGCCAGAGAACATGTTTATTTTGCTCAGCAATCCATTCTCTGGTCAGAGCACCGTGACTGCGGGTGGCAGGCCCTGAATGAGGTGTTACAAGCGCTGATGGAGTGAATGCAAGTGGTCGCATAACCGGCACGCGAGCCTCGAGGTTGATTCATTGGAGGGTTTCCCTGAGAGTTCATGTTAAGGACACTCCCATTTTACCCTGTTGTCACAAGACCCAGCCGTGCAGGCGGGGAAGCCACGTGTCCGGGTTGGGTTGCAAGAGGTGAGTCTCAGCATGGTCTGTGCATGCCTTCGCTTAATCTTCTTGCCGTGGCAAGATCAGCCGTGTCCTGTGGAAGCCACAGACCTGTATAACCTGAAGCACCATGGGACCCACTTACTTCCCGTGGGACAGTCAGCGGTAGCCTGGAACTTCCTTTAAGTACAGAAGGAGGAGACAGTGATAAGTGACAGGAGCATAATGCTGAGTGTAGTCGTCAATATCCGTTTCTGTTTCCTAGATATTGCCTACTTGTATGTAGGTGACAGAAAACCACAGTCATTACTTCATTGAAAAATAGGTTTGCCTCAGTTACCACAATACATTGTGCATATAAGAGATGATAAATGTGCATATTCCCTAAAGGCTGTCTTTATGTTTCTCCCATCCCAGCCAAGATACAACATTTGCATTGAAGTCACTTATTTTTTCATCAAATAAACTATAAAATAGACCACAGAATTACCAAAATACAGAGGTGAGAGAATTTGCTTTTCAAATTCCCTCACCTTCTGTATTAAATTTAATATATCTGTCCTAGAAAACTTTTGAAAACTGTATTTACACGTGGCCCAAAATGCCTTTCTCTATGACATGTTTGTAGATGACATGTTACTAATCATCGATAAAGTAATTGGAGAAAAATGCCTTTTTGATAACTAGCCATGTCAGAAGTATTGATATCAGCTCATAGGCATGCCACGCAAGTGTCCTGTGGGGACCAGGTAATGTGCCTCGGTTATATTAGCTCCCATTTCCTCCCGGATTTCAATTTTAACCTGGAATGAAAACTACTATGTTATATATAGAACATGATTCCCTGGTGATTATTTCTGTACGCCTGCATGTATGTGTATTTACCTTTCTGCATTTATTCTTTCCAATAGCTCCTTCGTCTTAAAGGAAAGTCTCTGGACTCTAGCATCTTTTGTAAATAAAATAATGAGGATGTGACTGGGAGTTTTTGAGTGGTACCAGGCTTTTGAGCATGGGCTAGTTTTTAAACTTTTCTGTTAAATAGACAAAGATAAAACTATTTAACTTTTCTGTTAAATAGACAAAGATAAAACCAAGAGGTTGAGCAGAAGATGGAGATATCTATAAATTGGAAATTGATAGTAAAGCGATCCCTCCTACATTGATACAGTAGTTGTTAGCTTACATAGAAGTTTTCATAAACACAAGCCCCTGTAGTTCTCATAATAATAAGAGGCAGAAATAACTTTCAGTGACATTACAGGTAGGAAGCCTAAGGTGAATTGAGCAAGTTCTCACAGGTCATGTTTGTCAGGTCTAAGATGAGAACTGTGAACAATTTTCCTAAATGAGGCTCTTCCCACCTGCCCTCCATCCTCAGCACGGCCACCTACACCCCTTCACGGGGATCTCACCAAACCAAATTAGCTTCAAAACATTAATTCATACCCTACCTGTTTGAGTGACAGCCAGGATAATCCTACCTTCCCCCTGAATAACACGTTCACATCAACGATCCCAGGTGACCTTTGCCTCATGACTATGTAGAACAGCCTCTGGTTAGAGATAAGGTTTTGGAAAATGCATGCCCAGGACTAAGATAGGTGCAGAACCCACAGCCACTCCACAGTTCTTATTCCTGGCATGAGTTTTATTGGGGGGAGGGAATGAGGGGGGCGGGTAGGTGAGGGAAAGGGTGATCCTCCAACTAAAATGTGATGAGGCTCAGATTGGAGTTATACCTCCAGCCACTGTGTTGAATTATGTCTGATACAGATACACTTACTTTTAGTTAATTCAGGTCAAGTGTAATCGGTGGTCTTTGCACACAAAGGGTTCAGATTGGGTCTACATTTTCTAATCTGACCCACGCACTAATACTTGGCCTGGAATTGGACCTTTTCCTACACCCCAAGTTGTCAGAGGCCCACCGAGAGCTGCGGCACGATTTCTGTGGGCCCACATGGAGACCCGGCCTGTCCGGTGCTTCCACACCGGATCAGCTGCCCTTGGTAGCTGCCAACCTCGGCACGGAGCAGGGAACCTCGATAACCAACTGACTTGTCACACGGTTGCTCTGTCTCTCTTTGGAACAGCCCCTCCAGAATGGGAACAAAAAATCCAGGACACATACCTGTCCATTTACGACAGCTTGTTTTGGGAATGCAAAGCCCAAGGAAAGCCCCGGCCTTGGTACACCTGGTTGAAGAATGGTGAGCGCCTCGGTGCAGAGGTAAGCAAAGTGTCCATATGAAACTCCCTGCTCTGGTGGGGAAACTGTCACAAACAGGAACAATACTAACATTGATGGAGTGTGCAGTAGGTGCTGGGGAACACAACAGACTCTAGATATACTAATTGATTTAATCCTTAGACAAACTCAAAGGAGCTATTAATAATGTCCCCATTTTTCCCACTGAGGAGACTAAGGGGAGAGAAGACCATCACTTGCAGAGCCGCATACTGTCAGCACTCGATTTACATCCAGGCATCACCACCATCATCACCATCACCATCATCATCATCGTCACCGTCACCGTCACCATCACCATCATTGTTCATATCTACTGAACTCTCCTCTGAGACAGGCCCTGTTACATGTTCCCTGCCTTATTATTATATCCTCATGACAACCTTAGGAGAGATGCACTGATTATTTCTTTATGGAGATGAAGAAATTTGCCTTCAGAGAAGTTTGGCCACTGTTCAAGGCCATGCAGCAGCTAGGGACTGTTGGGATCAGTATTCTGAACTTTGTCCACCTGGTTCTGGGACCCAGGTCTTAATCATACCCAGTATCTTGCTTTCGTGAAAACCAACGACTGTCTACCCCTGTTTTTCCGCATTTTCCAATCTCACGCATGCGTTCTCCTACACGCCACAGAAAGTGAGGCAGAGCTGCTGCTTTCGCATCAAATTATCCACATCATTGTGTTAATTCTCCCTTTTGCTTTGCACATGGAGGCACAGCCAGAGACAAAAAAAAAACCCAAAAAGACATCTGTTGTTTAGAGGCCGAACATAATGACGCTCTCTGTTCTGGCTTCATTGGGACTTCCCTGCATGCCTTCCGCCCAGAACACCCTCCATTTCCTCAGCTGACTTGTTTCTCTTCAGAGGATGGTACTAGGGACCTTGAAATAGTTCGTTTTGCGTTGTGTTTGCAATGTGAAATGATTTCATAATTCGCACTCAAAATTGTCACTCTGCGCCCCAAATGGGAATCCGTAATGGGTCTGGGCCGTGTAAGCTCACCTTATAGCTGGCTGCGGAAGAGAAATGCAGCCCCCGCTACGTATGATGCAATTAGAAAATTCCCGAGTGATCCATCCAAGTCTTTTTGAGACCTTGTGATGAGAAGGCAAGGATCCATTCTAACTTGGATATCCGTGACTAATATAGTCAATAATGGGAATAATTGGAATGGTGATGTGTTCCAAATTAGATCCTATATAAAGGAATGTAATATACACTCTATGTAGATCATGCCAATTCCCACAGGAATGAGATAACAGTACACTAAAATGACACCGGGCATATTTCCATTTTTCTTAACGTCAGGAAGCTGCTCGGGGTCCCTCTGTGTACGCGGCTCATCTTCATAAGCATCAGTTCGCATCGTAGCACAGCGATTGCACAGACGGTTCATAATCGGCCCTGATGAAGAGAACGCCCGCGTTAACGTCCCAGCCTCTTTACATGACTCCTTTTTTTATTAGGAAAGAATTCAAGTAGAAAATGGAACACTCACCATAACTATGCTGAATGTGTCTGACTCCGGTGTCTACCAGTGCGCTGCCGAAAACAAACACCACACAATCTATGCAAACGCGGAGCTGAGAGTATTAGGTAAGGCCTGCATGTATAACCATGAGATTCAGAATGAGATTGAGCAAGACGTGACTAGACAGAATCTTGGCCCAGTTCTTCTGTGACTCAGAAATTGCTTTCCCTTGAAACAATGGGGAACTGTCTACTAGTAAGTGAGCTTTTGAAAAACGTAGGTGATTCCTGTTCTGGTTGGGCAATCAGCCAGGGCTCCCGGAGGCGCCACCCCTGGGCCCACCCAACCAAGAGGCTCCTCCAAAGCTTGTCCCAGCTGAGA